TAAGTACTGTTTGTTTTGATTTGCTTATGACGAGGGTTGTTTGAATAAGTAACTTTAAATCAATTTTGCAATTTCAAAACTCGACATTTTTTGAAAATGACCCATATACATCACACATGTTAACAAAATGGGAGCATTTGACTCGTTACATTTTTGTAGCATCATCAGACTCAAGGTAGCTCTAATTATTCAGATATGCTTATAACAAGTGGTTGCTAGCTTGTGTGTGGTGAAGGCATCAGACCGTAGCAACACACTCACAGAAAGAAAGCTCTAAAATGCGAAGATCGCACTATGGTTAGGAGTTATGTATACACGTATTTACGACTGTCACAAAACAACAGATGAAAAGATGGTAAAATGTCCACGAGATGCAATACCAGAGATCCCGTCAAATACCTTTTCTAAGGAGTAGGTCCGGTAAGGGCCGATTTTGGCCCCAAATTTCAGGTTCATCTGATGAAAGATTTTGGACACTTTTTAAACACTCACGTGTCTACTTTACTGAACCTACTCCTTTGTCATATTTGTTTGATTATTTCACTTACATGTAGCACCAGACATTTAAATGCTATTGATCTATTTATTTTCGTGGGTATTAATTTTCGTGGATTGAGGAAAACTTGCATTTTCGTGGATATCTAATTTCACGGTATTCCCAAAGTCTGCATACAAGCCAAAAGAAAATTTGTATTCAGTTGAACATTTGAATTCGTGGTTCACATATACACACGGAATCCATGAAAATGTGTATCCAACGATTAATAATGAATCAACAGTATTTAATATGTTGTTAAATAAATGGAATTGCTCGTGTTTATCAAGCGCACTTTTTTGTGAAAATACATGTACCACGAAACATTAAAATAAACTAAAAAAAGATTAAAAAAATAAATAGACCAAATTCCTTTTTTTTGTTTGTATGTACAAGAACTTGTGTGTGAATACTATTGCAAGGAGAAAAGGTAAGGTTACGGTTATTTTGATGTGTCTTCAACTTTTGACTAACTGAATATTTTTGCTCACAGGAAAACGCAATTTAGGAACAAGGAAGAAAAACACGGCACGTCTTGTTTGCATTTCTTTCGCATGTTTCAATGTAAAATATAATCAAAAGCAGTCTGGGTATCCCTAGTCTGGGTATCCCTAGTCTGGGTATCCCTGCTCCTGCACTTTGCTCAAATAATTTGAACTTAAATTATTTTGACAAAGAAATTACAATGAGGATTTTGGATTTTAAAAGCTTTCGAAAGTTTGCTTTGTTTGATTAGAATCAAAATAAAACTGAAACTGAATATTTAGCTTGAATACGAAGAGGCGTCAATGACTTTCATGATAATTTTAATTTGTTTTATCAATACAATCTTAATCAATGTTTTTCTTAACATTTATACTCATAAAGTATCAACAATCGTATAAGAAAAAATATACCCTAAGGAGCAAGTGTTACAGCCAATCAATTTGAAGTAAGATCGTATTCTCTATGGTGATAAATTTTGAAGGTACATAAATATAAAAATGTAAAGAGATATCTAGGGGCCAATAACATTGACCTTTACCCCTGGTGTATGAAATAAAAAGGAAGACAAACGAATCGGATGGTCAACAACACTAAAAAAAATATTGAAAATTAAGTCACCAACCTCCCTCCATACAGAACTAGGAGCATACATGAAATCATGCAAAAGACATATTGTTACTTATGTACTATAGACAAAGGGTATATTTGTTGTGTTTAGCAAGCACTTTGTATTAGAACACAGGAAAGTGACGAATTCATGATTGTCAAAATAGTTGAGGGAGTGGCTGGCAGAAAAAAAGCAGAAAAATATGTATTACTACTTATAGGAGAATGCTTTTTCTGATGAGAAATTGTTGGTGGATGTATAATAAATCAATTTGTTAATAGCATTGCAGACCGAGAAATCAACTATTTGTTTTACAGCTAATCTGTTGCTGATAAAATAAACCATAATCGTTCGGCAAGAGATTCTCTAACTAAATTTGGTTGGTGGAATAGCATGTTTTATACAGGAATTTTTTTTTAGTATTCATAAAAGAAACACCGGACTCGTTTCCTCCACATTACCAACATATGATAGAAATAATGTCACTTCTATATGGATGTTCATGACCTTGACTGTTGACAAAATAATATGGATACAAGTTGCTTTCTTTAAAAAAGAAATGCAATTGTGAACCTAAATGCCTAGCATGAAAGATCAGATAATTGTTAAATAAAGATGTATGGTTTTACCTCATTTTTGTTGTATAAGATACAGAAACTGACATGGATTGTTAATGTAACTGCTGTTCAATATGGGGCAAAATATTCTTGTTAAAGGAATCATTTCTCTATCTCCGTTCCCTCTCTCTCCCGAAAGATAACATTACAATATGCTAAATAGGAGTCATCCAGTGAATGTTCCATTATGACATGTCTGAGGTGCTGTTTTTGAAATTAGAGTTAGTTTTCCGGCTTAAGTCGAAACGCAAATGTGAAGAAATTTAATGAAATTAATCATGATTATTTGTTTTTGTAGCCAGTTTGAAAATAGTTCAAAATTCTAAGCTGTATTCTTGTTTGATAATCCCGAACTGAAACCGTTTTTGAAAACCAATCAAACTGGTTTATATGGTTTGGTTATTGGTTATCATATTCAAGAGGCAACATACTCCGACCAAGCTTTTTGAGTGAAACAGTTTGTTCAAACAAATCTCACTTTTTCATTTCTAGCTTGTTCTTTTGTAAATTAGCCAAAATAAAACGAAGTTGTTGTTTTGTTGTTTTTATACGGTTGTGTGATAGACAGAAAGAAGCAGGAATAACAGGGCCAATGCAGTATAGTTTATGTTCAGTACACAATTAAAAAAATGCTGTTTTTGCAATCGAATGTCCGTTGAATACAGATATTGATTTTAAGAAAAATAATTTGTACAAAGCTTATTTTTTGTTGTTATTAGTAACATGTCGTCCTATTTTTCGTCAAACACGCTCTATGCCTCTGTCAAATAGACCCTTTAACTTGGCTTATCAATACAGATTGCCGCGATTCCTTGAAAATGAATTGACGGAATTCCCAGAAACTTGCAATGATTCTTCTATAGATGGGACACGAAGTTGTGCACCTGCTACTTTAACTTTTAATCTGATTTATTTTCTGCAATTTGAGACAACCGTACGGCCTTCATGCCCGTACTTTATTCTGTTTTTGTTTCTACTTTGATGACGGTTAAGAATGTTTTTCCCAATATATTCCTCTTGAAACGATTAAGGTTTAGGTAAAATAAAAAGTAATTCTACCTATCATGCAATTTTAATTTACAGAAGTGTATTCATTAATATTAACTTTTGTTCTATACACATCTCTCCTGGACGTAGAATCTTAATAGTTGCTTAAATGGACTGCACGTTCTTTTTTTAATTTCGCTAAAATGGCTAAGTTTTAAAATCATAAAAATGCCCTATCCATCCCTTAAAATATTTTTTTTTCCAATTTGTATTTCAGAAAACTTCACATATGCATCTCTAATTAATTAACTACTGATGTAGGATATCAATTAGTCTCCCTAAACACTTATCTTTATAGAATTGAAAACGCTAATGAATATTCATTAGATCAATTAATTACCTATTACGAAGGTGGCTATAGAAAAGAACAGATGTATTCCGAAAAGACAATGGAGACTTCCGGTTTTCCGAAAGACTACAAAATCAACCAATATATATGCGTGAACCCCTGAGGGTTCGCGCAAATATCATCTTGAATACTAAATGAGACTTTAAGTCCTCACTAAAAGCTCTCTTGGGCTTGTTTGTTTATGTTTTATTATTTTGACTCATTTCTGTACATTCAACTATAAGTGTTAATGCTTAATTCTTAATTTCTAGATTACTTCCATTACTTTTGAATAAAATCTAAACAAAAAAATTAATTAGTTTCATGCACCAGTCAGAATTATTTTACTATACATTCTTAATATGGATACTTATAAAGTATCAACAATCTTGTAGGCATGCTAGACTTCAAAGAGGAAGTTTTATATCCGATAAATATTAATTAGCATCTTATTCTCTAAGGGGATGACTTACGAAGGTAAACAATGATAACAAAGTAAAAAGACATTAAGGTGGTACCAAACACCTTGACTAAAATTAATTTGGCTCGTTTAATTTTCATAAAATTTTGACAAAATATTTACTTTGACCCTTTGACAAAAATATGAAAATTTCAAAAAACTTGAACCACACACTTTATCGGAAAAATGTCATTGGCTATATATACATGTAGCAGTTTGAAAAACACTAATTTTGATCTTTGAGAAGCTTAATATTTCCTTAACAATAGAACGTGATTAAAACGTTCAGCTGATTTTCACAGAGTTATCTCCCTGTAGTGTTATGTACCACCTTAAGGAGCAACCATAATTCATAAGCCGCAGAGGGTCAAATAAAACTGTTAAAATATGAAACAAGATTGTACGCCGTAGCGAAATATCCTCGCGCTGTATAAATGATGAATTAAACAGTCCCACAACTCTTGTAAAAATGGCCAAACAAAAAAAAGAGTGGTAATATATGGAGGAGTTGAGTTGACTTTACAAGGTGTTATTGTCCCAATACTGAAAAAAAGGACAATGTCACTTAACTCCAGTAAAAATTTTCTCAGAGGAATTGCGTTTACTAGGTGTTATTGTCATAATACTAAAAAAAATAGTAAAATTTTATAACTCCTGTAAAAAATGTCGAAGCAAATTGACGATATAGCATAGCCAAGAGATAATGACGAAAAATAATCCAATCAAGTATAAAAGGTTAATTTCAAACGGTCTCTGAGAATTGGTGTGTTTAGGAGGGACACACGGACGGAGACCATTAACATTGCCATATATCACCATGATGCGACGAACGGGGGTTAATAATATGAAAGAAAATTGAATCATCCACAAAACATAACTTGCATATTCCACCAAACCTTTATATCTAGTTCTTAACTTACCTTGATTATCACTGCGAGCATTCCCGCCAACATTACTAAGGTCTGAAATACATCTGTCCAAATAACCGCCTTTAACCCACCCTAAAATAGATTGTGTAAAAATAAATCATAAAATGTTTTTTGTTTTGCTACATACAAGATCATATAAGGAAATTAACAAGTCGTTGCTTTTATTTTAGAAGATGTCAATTAATAAACAATTTACCATCATATATGTATGCTTTACATTTTTTTCGGTGTTTTCGGTTTTAATGCTCTTGCTCTTCGTATTTTATTTGCCCTTCCAAGTGTATTGATTTGAGCGCCTCTGATGAGTCTTATATAGACAAAACGCTCGTCTAGAGTGCCAAATGATAAGTCTGTTAACTTTAATGAGTTTTAATATGCAATATCTGAAACACCTGATACCTCTACTATAGAGAGTTTCTATTGTTCAAAAGTTTAGTCAATAGCTTGTTCATGCAGGGTAAGAAGCGTTCAATGACATACTTGCAGCCGAAAAACCTTCGATAAGAGCAGTATCAAAGCAGTCGGTATCAGTTTTGACAAAAATTCGTATTGACACTTAAAGGGAAAATTCGCGATTTTTTACTTATCATCTTATTATGTTCATAATACCATAAAAAAAATATTTCACCAAGTTTTATCTGGATATGAACACTAATAAAGAAGAAAATTAGGAATTATTAATTTTATTTATTCGAACTTCCTGACTTCTGTGACGCAGTTTAAGTCTAATTGCATGCCGGGAGTGGATTTAATCTCATGTTAAGTCTTGTTCGTTAATCATCTAATAACGCGATTTTAAGCGCATCGACGACTATTTTGCGTATCTATTAACCAACTAATAATTAAGTGAGTAAAGTGATCAGCCGTGCAACTTTTTAAATCAAAATGTACGATTTATATTTTAGGGATTTCTTATATGATTATTGTAATAAAAGTAAATCATACAATAGAATATTTTTATGATTTTTTTTTCCGACGGATATGTTGAACAAACATTTATAGCTGATAGTGGAATAAAAATGCATGTTTGTATTCTCACCTTTTACTTCAGTCAAGGATTTGTCTTACTATACAAATCCTTGCTTCAGTCTAGCAAACATTTCCCGCTAATACTGTGTAAATACAATATGTATTATGCTGACACTACCTGGTAAAGGCGTGGTTAAATTCACGATAATTAAAAGATTAGCATTATGTAATTTTTATCTTCACTAGAGTGTTGTTTGGCCTCAAGGGTTCACCGTTTCAGGTGTGAAAAACATAAAATAAATGATAAAAGAGAAGTGTGCTGGTTTTGAGACAGAAAAAAAATTATTTGGGGAGGAATATGGTAGCAAAATACCCGAATCGCCGTTATATATGTTTTTAATATTTTGCGTTAGCTAAGTTTTTAAATAAATAGGTGAGTACTTTGTTGTAACATCGAAATTCTGAATTACTTTCAATTGAATAATTCTATAAATAAAAATGGCCCACAAAAACGAGCGTATAATGTACTATTTTGAATTATCATCGGTAACCTTGAATAGAACGAATTATTGCCTATTTAATACTTTCAGATACCATACTGTTTCGTTTAAGGCATAACACAATTTTTAATGGGTGTTGTTTTAAAATGTACAAACGCTGAACAAAAACGTTGTTCACTACATTGTTGTTTGAAACGTTGCTCTGAATTGCTACTAAAACTCGATTTTTGATACAGAACAAATGTAATACAGGAAACTTCTAAAACTGAAACTAAAATACACCAAAAACGTGAATATCGATTCGCAAGTTGTCTGCAATGGCATTGTCAGTTTGTTTTCGACTTATGCTAACACTTTGGTATCTTTCGCCTCTGTTTTTAACGATTATGTGCCCTTTATTTCAATACTAAACAAATATAATTTAAATAAAATCCACATCCTTTCTAATTAGACCCTCACAAAGGAGTATTTGGTACAAAGCCAATAAAGATATATTAGTGTTAAACGGTGTTGTTTTCTTATATGTCTCTAAATTTATGTTTAATCTTATGTACTTGTATGTAATGTGATCAAAGCTCTTTATAGGGCCCTTTAATTGGAAATAAAATATTCTTATACTGTATGCCTTTAGTGACTCAGCGTGAGGTGTTTTGGATTTTAAATTTAGATAAGCATTTTCTGTGAACAATAAACGAAAGTATAACATGGACAAACAGAAAAATAAATCTCTGTAATATGGGTTTTCTGATCTAATATCTTGTCGAGTTGCCACAAAAACCACACTTGCTAATACTTATAGTAGGTGACGACCATTTGATTTCCTGTGGAAAACCCTCATCCTTAATCACTAGAGTTGAGCGCACCCTAAATGTGTAATTGAATAGATTCATATTTGAAATAGGTTTGAATTAATAGCTTTATTTCAAAACTTGAATTAGGGAAATCATTGGCATTTCATGCAGCAATTCCTCATAGGTTTGCTACTGAATTTTCATTTTTGATAGTCTCGATAACTGGGGTTGCGCGCGCACTAGAGGTATACGGAAAAAATCTATAACATTATTTCACAATTTACCTCTAAACATCAAACAACGTTTTTATTTCACCAAGTTGTCAAAAATGTAATTGGATATCCTGCATTTAACATACTTTATTTAGGTTAAAGTCACGAAAGTCTCTCTTCTAAATTTTTGAAAGCTATAATTTTGCATTAGCCACACTATCATGATGTAAATAAGATAAACCTCAATCGGACTAACGCCCTCAGGTGTATATGTAAATACTTCCATATTTACATATATACTGCATATCACCTATTAAATTGATTGAAAACTGGAATTCGGAAATCCGTTATCCCATCTTCCTTGTACACTGCAAAGCAAGAACTCTCTACACCTACAACTATCAGCATATCATATAAGTTAGCATAATTATCTTCTATGTACTTACAATAGTAGTGTAAAATGTGCAGACTCCACCAACAACTAAGATTACTGCCCATTCTGGAAATGATGTCACTGAAATATGATTCTAACATCTTTAAGTTCTTCATTTTTATATATTATATGTAAATCTCATATTTAATGGCAAATAAAATAAATAAGCAATACTTTAGGTTCAAATCTTGTTAAGGTTGCACAGTTTGTAATTACAATGTATTATTAATCAAAATTTTCCAACCATTACCAAATGCCTTATTGTGTAACATTTAGGGCGTCTATGCATTTGCACTTCATGAACAAAAAAGTAGTATTGAAAGTCTAAATGTATTTTGAATAATTAAGTTAACTCAATGATGCAGATTTATGAATATGTCAATTATATTGAACCATAAACACTATAATCTGGTGATATGACCGTGCATTAAAATATGTATAATTAAGTTTGTGCTAGTAGTCTTAGTCTTTTCTTTTTTGACTAATCTCGAATTGTACTTTGTGAATAGTTAGACCGATGGCGTAAATGAAGTCATTGGACATTCGGTTCTTACTGTGACGTAATAATATAAATATCATGACAATGTACGGAAAATGCACGAATTTTAAAGTCGTCTATAGTTGCTGTCTATATGACTTTCGTGGATTATCACAACCTATGCTAGTTTTAGTCCCATCTTGAATATCCCAGTCTATGATAGGCTTAGTAGTAAAATGAATTGTCACAGTCTGGATAGTTACGTATACACTATATGCTAGTCTTTGCATTTTATGGATTTTCACAGTTAGTGCTAATCTGGTCATCTTCGGGAATATCACGATTTGTGTTAGTCGTTGTCTTTTATGGATTGTACCCGTCTGTGTTTTTCGTAGACTCTTCGAGGATGTCACAGACTTTGCTAGTCTTAGTCTCTTCGGGGATGTCACGGTCTGTGCAAGTCTTAGTTTCTTTGGGGATGTCACAGTATGCGCAAGTCTAAGTTTCTTCGGAGATGACACAGGCTGTACAAGTCTTAGTTTCTTTGGCGATGTCACAGTTTTTGAAATTCTTAGTTTCTTCAGAGACATCACAGTCTGTGCAAGTCTTAGTTCTTCGGGGATGTCACAGACTGTGCAAATCTTAGTTTCTTCGAGGATGGAACAGTCTGTGCTAGGTTTAGTTTCCTCGGGGATGGAACAGTCTGTGCAAGTCTTAGTCTTTTCTTATTAGACTAATCTCCAGTTGTATTTTGTGAACAGTTAGACCGATGGCGTAAATGAAGTCATTGAACATTCGGTTCTTACTGTGATGTAATAATATACGGGAAAGGCACGAATTTTAAAGTCGTCTATAGTTGCAGTCTATGTGACTTTCGTTGGTTATCACAACCTATACTAGTCTGTGCTAGTCACAGTTTCTTCGGGATGTCACAGTCTGTTGAAGTCTTTTTCTCTTCGGAGATGTCACTGTCTGTGCTAGTTTCAGTTTCTTCGGGGATGTCACAGTCTGTGAAAGTCTTAGTCTCTTCGGGGATGTCACAGTCTGTGCAAGTCTTAGTTTTTTGGGGATGTCACAGCTTGTGCAAGTCTTAGTCTCTTCGGGGATGCCACAGTCTGTGCAAGTCTTTGTTTCTTTGGGGATGTCACCGTTTGTGCTAGCTATATATATATAGTTTCAGTTTCTTCCGGGCTGACACAGTCTTTGCTAGTCTTATTCTCTTCGGAGATGTCACAGTCTGTGCTAGTCACAGTTTCTTCGGGATGTCACAGTCTGTACTAGTTTCAGTTTTTTCGGGGATGACAAAGTCTGTGCTTGTCTTAATCTCTTCGGGGATATCACAGTCTGTGCTAGTCTCAGTTTCTTTGGAGATGTTACAGTCTGTTCAAGTCTTTGTCTCTTCGTAGATGTCACAGTCTGTGCTAATCTCAGTTTCTTCGGGGATGTCACAGTCTGTGCTTGTCTTAGTCTCTTTGAGGATGTCAAAGTCTTTGCAAGTCTTAGTTTTTTGGGGATGTCACAGCCTGTGCAAGTCTTAGTCTCTTCGGGGATATCACAGTCTGTGCAAGTCTTAGTTTCTTTGGGGATGTCACCGTCTGTGCTAGTTTCAGTTTCTTCGGGGATGTCACAGTCTGTGAAAGTCTTAGTCTCTTCGGGGATGTCACAGTCTGTGCAAGTCTTAGTTTTTTGGGGATGTCACAGCTTGTGCAAGTCTTAGTCTCTTCGGGGATGCCACAGTCTGTGCAAGTCTTTGTTTCTTTGGGGATGTCACCGTTTGTGCTAGCTATATATATATAGTTTCAGTTTCTTCCGGGCTGACACAGTCTTTGCTAGTCTTATTCTCTTCGGAGATGTCACAGTCTGTGCTAGTCACAGTTTCTTCGGGATGTCACAGTCTGTACTAGTTTCAGTTTTTTCGGGGATGACAAAGTCTGTGCTTGTCTTAATCTCTTCGGGGATATCACAGTCTGTGCTAGTCTCAGTTTCTTTGGAGATGTTACAGTCTGTTCAAGTCTTTGTCTCTTCGTAGATGTCACAGTCTGTGCTAATCTCAGTTTCTTCGGGGATGTCACAGTCTGTGCTTGTCTTAGTCTCTTTGAGGATGTCAAAGTCTTTGCAAGTCTTAGTTTTTTGGGGATGTCACAGCCTGTGCAAGTCTTAGTCTCTTCGGGGATATCACAGTCTGTGCAAGTCTTAGTTTCTTTGGGGATGTCACCGTCTGTGCTAGTTTCAGTTTCTTCGGGGATGACACAGTCTGTGCTAGTCTAAGTCTCTTCTGAGATGTCACAGTCTGTGCTAGTCTCAGTTTTTTCGGGATGACACAGTCTGTGCTAGTATCAGTTTCTTCGGGGATGACATAGTCTGTGCTTGTCTTGTTCTCTTCGGGGATATCACAGTATGTGCAAGTCTCAGTTTCTTTGGGGGTGTCACAGTATGTTCAAGTCTTAGTTTCTTCGGAGATGACACAGTCTGTACAAGTCTTAGTTTCTTCGGAGATGACACAGTCTGTACAAGTCTTAGTTTCTTCGGCGATGTCACAGTTTGTGAAAATCTTAGTTTCTTCGGAGATATCACAGTCTGTGCAAGTCTTGGTTTCTTCGGAGATGACACAGTCTGTACAAGTCTAAGTATCTTCGGCGATGTCACAGTTTGTGAAATTCTTAGTTTCTTCAGAGATATCACAGTCTGTGCAAGTCTTAGTTTCTTTGGGGATGAAACAGTCTGTGCAAGTAGTATTGAAAGTCTAAATGTACTAAATGTATTTTGAATAATTAAGTTCACTCAGTGATGCAGATATATGAATTTGTCAATTATATTAAACCATAATCACTATAATCTGGTGATATGACCGTGCTTTAAAATATGTATCATTAAGTTTGTGCTAGTAGTCTTGGTCTTTTCTTATTAGACTAATCTCTAGTTGTAGTCGTCTATAGTTGCAGTGTATGTGACTTTCGTGGATTATCACAACCTATGCTAGTTTTAGTCCCATCTTGAATATCCCAGTCTATGATAAGGCTTAGTAGTAAAATAGATTGTCACAGTCTGGATAGTCACACTATATGTTGGTCTTTTTATGGATTTTCACAGTTAGTGCTAATCTGAGCATCTTCTGGAATATCACGATTTGTGTTAGTCTTTGTCTTTTATGGATTGTACCTGTCTGTGTTTGTCGTAGACTCTTCGAGGATGTCACAGACTTTGATAGTCTTAGTTTCTTCAGAGACGTCACAGTCTGTGCTAGTTTCAGTTTCTTCGGGGATGACACAGTCTGTGCTAGTTTCTGTTTCTTCGGGGATGACACCGTCTGTGCTAGTCTTAGTCTCTTCGGAGATGTCACAGTATGTGCTAGTCTCAGTTTCGTCGGGGATGACACATTCTGTGCTTGTCTCAGTTTCTTCGGGGATGTCACAGACTGTACAAGTCTTAGTCTCTTCGGGGATGACACAATTTTTGCTAGTCTCAGTTTCTTCGGGGATGTCACAGTCGGTGCCAGTCTTAGTCTCTTCGGAGATGTCACAGTCTGTGCTAGTCTCAGTTTCTTCGGGGGGTGTCACAGTCTGTTGAAGTCTTTGTCTCTTCGGAGATGTCACAGTCTGTGCTAGTCTCAGTTTCGTCGGGGATGTCACAGTCGACGCAAAAGTCTAAGTCTCTTCGGGGATGTCCAGACTGTTCTTGTCTTAGTCTTTTCGGGGATTACACAGTCTGTGCAAGTCTTAGTTTTTTTGGGGATATCACAGTCTGTGCAATTCTTAGTTTTTTTGGGGATGTCACCGTCTGTGCTAGTTTCAGTTTCTTCGGGGATGACACAGTGTGTGCTAGTCTTAGTCTCTTCGGAGATAGATGTAACAGTCTGTGCTAGTCTCAGTTTCTTCGGGGATGTCACAGTCTGCGCAAAAGTCTTAGTCTCTTCGGGGATGTCCAGACTGTGCTTGTCTTAGTCTTTTCGGGGATTTCACAGTCTGTGCAAGTCTTAGTTTTTTTGGGGATGTCACAGTCTGTGCAAGTCTTAGTCTCTTCGGGGATATCACAGTCTGTGCAATTCTTAGTTTTTTTGGGGATGTCACCGTCTGTGCAAGTCTTAGTTTCTTCGGGGATGACACAGTCTGTGCTAGTCTTAGTCTATTCGGATATAGATGTCACAGTCTGTGATAGTCTTAGTCTCTTCGGGTATGTTACAGTTTGTGCTAGTCTGAGTATCTTTGGGTATGTCACAGTTTGTGGTAGTCTGAGTATCTTTGGGTATGTCACAGTTTGTGGTAGTCTGAGTATCTTTTGGTATGTCACAGTTTGTGGTAGTCTGAGTATCTTTGGGTATGTCACTGTTTGTGGTAGTCTGAGTATCTTTTGGTATGTCACAGTTTGTGGTAGTCTGAGTATCTTTGGGTATGTCACAGTTTGTGGTAGTCTGAGTATTTTTTGGAATGACACATTTTGTGTTAGTCTTTTTCTTTTTGAATTGTCAGTCTAAATATTTTGATTTTCATTGTAACATTTTGGCTTCAGTACTCTAAACCTGTTACTCTTTAAAAACTCACCGGCACTTAATGCGGTTGATGGACCATAAAGGACAATGCCCATACCAATGATCTGCAATAGTAAACAAATACATTAAAGAGATATGACAAACAAAACAAGTCATAAAGATTTAAGAACGCGAAAGCAGCAACGTACCACAAAGGACAAAACTTCCTTCAAATTATCGTAAAAATACTCTGCACTGTTGAAATGATTTTGGACTAAATCACTGTCAGGCAACAGATTCTGAGGCTGCGACAAACAAAAACAATGTTATCAAAGAAAACTAAGAAGTAAGCATGTGGCGGCTTGAAATTAAGTAGCAGCTATATTCGCTTGTTATTGGTTTTGTTATAATTAAATGTCAAATTGAAGTGAGAAGCACTTCAAACTCCACCTTCATTTTGTTGAGTTGCTGATATTTGTTGTAACCACCATCTCTTTAACTCATTCATTCTTAAATTATCACAGAAAAAGATGTATCAGCGGATATTGGACTTGGTATAAGCTCCTGGACAGATGCGACTAGTAAAGCTTGAAATGTTAACGCTTCCATAGCTCTGACGTCAACTTTGAATTTGGTGGTTTCATGTTGCCCAGTCAAACATAATTAGTATGAAACAAAAGTTTGGAATATTGAAAAACATTTTCACAAGCACAATTATGTATACTACCTATCAATCAGTTATTCTTCCAGAATTATGATAGTACAATTAGGGATAGAATATAATTATCTTTTTTTTTGTTACAGGTAAAGGGACGTTTGCGTTTACATTCGTCTTTTATAAAACTTGATTTTCAAAGAACAAAACCGACTGACCAGCACCATTTACCTGGTTTTAAATTGTAATTTTGAAACAAAAATGTTATGACGTGTATATTAAAAGTTGTTTGTGCTAAAAATGAAAGATAAAGTGTTCCAATAATATAATTATGTGTTTAACTTAGAGATAACCCTTTTATCAAGGCTTTACTGCAGTTATAGATATTTCAGGATTGCCCTGAAAACTGTATTATTTAATAAGATTACAAATGTTTTACAACACTGGAGAGCAAATTTATTGCGGTGGTTGACAGCTTTTTATAATTAACTTTGTGTTTTCCGGGTATAAAAGTACAATTGTACTGTCATGTAGGGCTATCAATATATCATTCAAGGATAGTTATTACCTTTGAAATACAGGTGGTTAAACTCTGGATTTTCAATCTTTTGTATTTTGTTTTCTTTTTGAAATTCAAAATGTTTACCGAACAAATAATTTATGTTTATAATTTAATACTCATGACTGGGGTTTCGTCTACATAAAACTAATCAGTGGCGCTCGAATAAAAAAAGGCGGAAGGCAATAAAGAAACCCAATCTAGTTTTTATGTGAACAATTACTATAGATTACGAGAGATATAATCGCCCCATGGCAATTAAAAATTCCAAATAGTACAATCGACATAACCGTCACAACAATAATAATTGAGTACAGGTTGTATTACATATTATTAACGGTCTTATAGATATAAAATATAATGCACACGTTAACTCGGAAGATCATATTTTTACACGGAAAAGGACCCGACTGCTAAAGAGATTGAAGAAATTCTAAGCATTCTAAGCATTCTATGCGGATATACTTACAGTTCTAACAAGGAAAATAAAGGCACCAAATAAACGTACAGATTTAGATTGAAATCTTTCTTCCAAATACTGAAAGAGATAAATGGTAATTGCATTTATTCTATGCTCTACACGAGAGAGAGAGAGAGAGAGAGAGAGAGAGAGAGAGAGAGAGAGAGAGAGAGAGAGAGAGAGAGAGAGAGAATAATTCATAATTCATGTCATGTTAATAAACAACAGTCCACGAAACGTTCTTGCCATGCATTAATATGGACAGAGAGGATACATATGAATGGTTTCATGTATACTATTTAATTTTATTCAAAATTTATTTCAGTTTTCTCTGTTTACAGGACAGTATATGATTACGTCAGCATATGCAATTGCTATAATATGCGAGCACACCAAGTGCTTGTGTACAAGTACTTCAAGATTAGATTGGGTGGCACTTGGGTTTTTAATTAAAACTGTTCAACATGTATCAATAAATTTCAATATTTTATTAGCTGTGGAAACTTACATCAGTAATAGCTGTGTAAAAGTATTAACATTATTACCATGTATTTCATCTGTTTTGTGGCATTATCATACACGTATATTATGAACATTCCAGAGAATCCTATTCGATCGGCTAACCTCTTCTACTTGTCTATTAAGTGGTCTTCCGGGGTGCTTGTTATCGATATTACGTTTCTTGGATGCCGATTAATTTTGAGAGCAAATAATTAAAAAAAGCAGCATTATAGAGCAGCAGTCCATTCCATTATTTAAAATCGGCTTTTTCAAAATTTTCACGCCTATTTTGGCATTTAATTCCTCCGCAACCCCTCTAATCGGCATTGCAGCACATATTGACAAGTTATATCTGTAATCAGGGGATGAAGGGTCACAGAGGTCGATTTAAAAATCCAAATATATAACGTATAGTATTTTAATTTTCATATATGTTTTGGTATTCAGGTCCTCCATAACATTAAAACACGGAATTTCCGTTAAGAATAGTTTGGCAAACCGACTAAATAAATAAATAAAAGATAAAAAAAAATAAAGAGTGTATTGAAATTGTTTTCTTATATCAATTTGAAAATATGTAAATTGACATAAAAAAATGGCAAATTCAGAAATACGGGATAGTGCCAGAGTCAATAATAAATGATCACTTTTCAACTTGAATACTGAAACATAAACTATTTCATTATTCATTATTCATTACTAAACGTTGAATAATGAATAATGTACTAATTCATTATTCATTAGTGAATTTTGAATAAAGAAAAATGAATTATGGACGTTCTTCAGCGCGGTCATTATAGAGCAGTAATATCAATAGAAATTCTCAATTACAAATTCAACTTCCTTCCATGCACAGTACATTGCGCAGTCGCAGCGTCCTCATAAATGATTTATGGACCAATCAGAGCGTCAAAACATTGCCAAAAAGCAACGCTATTTTTGATTTGTTCATTTGTCTCAAAGACAATCACACAATATACTTGTTGAATAATAAGAAGCGTGTGCCTAAAATCGTGTTACATTTTTCTGCTGAATTAATTGTAACAAAGTAACCATGGTCAATATTTAATAGATAAATGTATAACGACAAAAATCAAATGACATACGGTTAGTTATATAGCATATGTCTTTAAAATGAGACGAATTGCTCATATTTCAGATTCACCTTTTTTCACTGTCAAAATTAAATGTTATAAGTTTCCTATTTCTTTAACAAAATGTAGTGCAAACTTACTTGAAAAACACTAACAACTTTCAACTTAAAAAACATTGGTCCAAATAGAAGTGCTCCAGTCACAGGAGCTAACATAGCTCCGAAGACAGAAATCCAGTATTGCGTACCATACTCGTAAATTTCAGCTGGTGTTCCGAGTAGAGTTGATGCTGAAAAGAAACTTGCAAGCACAGACAGTGCAACAGGTAGTGATCTCATACTTTGATTGGCCATCAGAAATTCTTTTGTGCTTTTTTGTTTTCCTCCTGCACATGCATGATAAATCCCAATTCCCATTGAAATAAGTAACATGCCGCCAAAAACTGCATAATCAGCTGCATGGAAATTATGCAAGTTCGAAGTCGTCATTTTAAAACTAAATATATGTTACAAATCTTTTATATCAAGGAAAACATAATCAGAAGAAAATGTTCTAAAACTGTTTTGTCAATCTAGCAGTACAACAATTTCAGATAACCTTATGTCTTAAGTATATAATGCGTACAGTAAATATACCTAGTGGTGTGATATTCGCTGCGATAAAGGTATGGTGTTTGTATATACCGAAAGTAAAATTAGTTAATCACTTTGGTATACAAATATATATAGATATATATATAAATCACTATGATCTTAACAGTATGTTAAATTGGTAAACAATATTTTTTTCTCGTGTGTAGAAAGGTGGATGTATAAAGTAAAATAAGAAAAATACCGAACTCCAAGGAAAATCAAAAACGGAAAGTCCCTTATTAAACGGCAAAATCAAAAGCTCAAACACATCAAACGAATAGAAAACAACTGTTATTCCTGACTTGGCACAGGCATTTCCTTATGTAGAAACTGGTGGATTAAACCAGATTTTACAGCTAGCTAAACCTCTCACTTGTATGACAGTCGCATAAAATTCCATTATATTGACAACAATGTTGTTTAGTAATACATTTGAAGAGTTTGATGTCGAAGACGGATTAACAATGTACCATGTCGAACTTTTTGTTTGTTTTTTTTTGTGAGGATTAGGATGGGGTAGTAATTGGATAATATTTACTGCTAACTAGCATTCGACCTGTTGTAAATCTGTATGAATTCAAACAGTTGTTTTATGAACCATACATGCTAAAGTTCAAAGGAATACATAATAATAAATCCGTTGTTTTATGTTAAAGCGTATTTTTGGCAACCAAAAGGTTTATACAATATGTAAATACACTCATCATAGATACCGGGATTGCAATTTTGTATTTGCGTCAGACGCGCATTTCGTCTACAAAAGACTCATCAGTGACGCTCGAATCAAAAAAAGTTAAAAAGGCCAAATGAAGTACGAAGTTGAAGAGCACTGAGGACCAAAAATTCCTAAAAGTTTTGCCAAATACAGCTAAGGTAATCTATTCTGAGGTATAAGCCCGTTCATGATATCACGAAAATAAATTTCAACACAGACGAAATATTGCTGTAGGTGAGATGACATTTCTCAGCGAGACATAATTTTCAGTAGATTTTACGCAAGTTATAAATACTTCAGTAAACAGATGTGGGAATTCGGCTTACAATTTTCACATAAAATTGAGAATGGAAACGGGGAATGTGTCAGCTCCAGACCTCAATTAAACGGATTATAAGATTATGTCTTCATCATATGAAAATCAAGCACAATCCATCCCATTAGGGGTTTAGTATCATACCATCATAAAATATACGAGAAGAACATAACCCGTATCATGCCAACAACTGGTTTTAGAATAAATGTGTGTTCTTCCGATGCAAAGACCCTATGAGTGAATCAATATTAATTCCCAAAAATGCCATCTTTAATGTCCTGACAACAGTATCGTAACAATATCCCTTCTGAATAAGTCTGTTTAAAGGTTTGCTTAGCTTTTGGGGTGAATAACGACATTTTTGTGATTTGTATAGAATATTACCATGTAAGATTGCGTGTGAAATACCGGAACGTATAAGATGTCTGCACGTTGATTTATATTTGCGAAATGATGTCCTTGTACCGATGATAAAATTTAGGGTATATGTTTTGACAAGTTTGTGATATCGAAAACCTTAGTGTAATAATTTTCCAATAATACAGAGATTTCTTTCGTTAAAATCAAATGTTGTTAGATACACGAGCGAATCGAATAAGTTGTGATATATAGACACAATAAGATGGTAACAAGGGAACATCACCATCTAAAAATGGATAACTATAAAAGGAAATGAAAAATCATCTCTTTTATCGTAAATTTTTGTATTAAGCTTCCAGTTAAAGATATAGATATCAAGATCCAGGAAAGGACAGTGTTCATTGTTAGTATTAGCTTTAATTAAAATCAGATCAGCAAGATAAATCTCTTTAGTGTTCATACTGAAGTCGTCATTATTGAGAGGCAATATATCATCCAAATATCTAGAGCATTTATTAAGTTAATAAGTGAGTCGACCGATTTCACACGTTGAATCCTTCAAATTAACCTTGATAACAATAAAAAAAAATCGGTTTATCACATATGAAACGGATTAAAGGATTATCGTGTACAGCTGCATATTACATAACATAGATCTTGTAAAGTAGGTAACAATTCCTAGTAGAACACTTGCACCATAGCTTGTCAGGAGAATAACTGTTTGTTTGAAAATGTTACCTCCAAAATACACATTAAATTGACATTTGGTGATTTAAAAGTTACTTATAATTAAAAAAAAGTTATTTTAAAAATGAATGTTTTAAATTTAATTACACAACTGAACAACCAAAATACACGATGTAGTCTGGAGTATAGAAAGAGTTTTAGACGAACTTTTCCCAGCACATCATGACCAATACTTCGCACCCGTATAAAAGAGTAAGCGTATTTATTTGATCAAACACCTCTAGCCGACAAAAATGAAAATAAATTAATTATATATATTAGAAATAAAAGAAACAGAATTTACTCTACCAAAAAAAAAAAAGAAAAAAAAAAGAATAAAATAGAATAAAATAAAAAAGAATATATATCTGATTTTTTTCATTTATTTTCAAATTCATTAGAAAATAAAATAAAACCTTAATACGGGACAAACACATCTTACTTTTTCATTCATTTTAATGCAATGGTGTTATAATGGCTTGGTATAAGGTCTAAACTCTTCCTTTTTGGTAGCAGGCGACAAGTGAACGTTTAACATATGCAACAACAATTCATTGGGATAATACCACCATTGCTTCCCCCCTATTAGTTATTGTTATATTGGCATTTTAAAAGGAATTAGGCAGAATTTATCTTAGTTTCAAATAAAGAAATACTTGTCATGATAAAGTTTTATCCTTTCCAGTGTTATAGTGAATATTTCATAAGAAAATAGCCATCACCGAAAATAAACCACTCAAAGTTTCAAAACCTTTTCTTTCTGTTTACAATCATTAAAGAACAGACCTTTTAAAATTCAAACTAACCACACGCACTATACACGCACGGACGATACATGCACGGTGAATGAACGGTGAATGCACGGTGTTACACGGAGAATAAATGAAAAATGAATAGTGAATGATGAACCCACGATACGTGTGCACGGTGGATGATTCATTGACGAATGAACGATGAGCGCTTAACACGCGTTTCGACAAGCCATCAAAGTTTATTTAGAATGGCATTTAAACTTGACATGTGACAATTAAAATGTATTAGGGTATACAAATTTTAAATATCGTGCTTTCAGTGTTGATTGGTCGGCAATTTTACTAAACATTCAATGTTGTAAATAGATTAATTGTCGTATATTTTTTTAGTGTATTTCCAATATCAATGAGTGTGGTCAAATTATACAACTCATCTATTTTCATAATTTAACTTGATATTAAATATGATAAATTATTTATAAATTGTAACATTTTAATAGTCGCGATCGTCGTCAGAGATTAAGCAGTGTTTAGGTTACGACGAGTAGGGAAAATGTAGCAAGTTGCGTTGTTTTAACAGTGATGTGACTTTATACTAGTGAACTGCTTTCTGAAAATCAAACTGCTGCTCGGAATACATAAAATATGAGCATCATTTTGATATGTTAGGAGCTGATTCACGAAACTGAGACTTCAAGTCAAGCAAAATTGAGGGTAAAGGGACGACAATATGATAATTTCGGTGTAGGGGCAGATTGATTTTTTATTTATTTTCATTTATATACACAACTGTTTGTTTGTGTTGCATAATATCAATTTTTATCCTTTTCATCCTTTCTTATTGAATTTTATTTAATTTCAGCCCTCACCACCCTGCTCTTTCCGTGCCAGTTCATGTTCATCGATCATGTTCAATTACCCCCCCCCCCCCCCCCTTTCCGAAAATTAAATGGTTGTCCTCTACACTTGGTTTGCACCTGCACAAGCCCTGCCCTTTTTTTAGAAAAGATTACAGATTAATGAGTAAATAATATCTACATCACACAGGAAATGACTCATATTAACAAATAAGTATGTAACACGAGTTGATATTTTTGTTGAGATATAAAAAGAAGATGTGGCATGATTGCCAATGAGACAACTCTCCACAAATAGACCAAATGACACAGAAATTAACAACTATAGGTCACCGTACGGCCTTCAACAATGAACAAAGCCCATACCGCATAGTCAGCTATAAAAGGCCCCGAAATGACAAAAATGAAATGAGAAACTATTTCGTTTTTCTGATGATATAAGCACAAGCATTTTTTTTGGATGCGCGAAAATTTGCTAAATATTTAATTGAACCAAATACAATTGTTTAGAATTATTACACGTGTTCACATCACGATAAATCAAGAACTACTGAATATGCTGATGACAAATATTATGACCAAATAAACAAAAATCTTTAAACATTTCTCCTTCTTTTAATGCATAGTTTGTTAAAATCCTACCAGAAATGACTTCAATCTATTTTTATAGCAAAAATAGTACGTGATGAATGCGTATGGCCATTCACTGTATAATTTGATAGCTTGGCATCTACATATAATCAGTATACTATATTTATTATTCTCTTATTCTCTTATGGTGATAAAAAAAGTGATACGAAAACTGCGTAAATTTGATTGGCTTTAACAGCACCATGAGACAATATCACGCAATTTCCATTGGTTATTCGTTAGGTCATTGATAACTTTCAAAGGTTAAGACGATGTACATTCCGCTTTGTTATCATAGAATTGAAAATGGAAATGGGGAATGTGTCAAAGAGACAACAACCCGACCAAAGATCAGAAAACAGCCCAAGGCAACCAATGGGTCTTCAACACATCGAAAATCCCGCACCCGGAGGCGGGCTTCAGCTGGCCCCTAAACACAAATCTGTTCCAGTTCAGTGAAAATGGACGTCACACTAAACTTCGAAACATAAAAAATGAAC